CTGCACAACTTGTGTGCTCCAGCACACTCCTCTGTATGAAACATTTGTTTCAATACCATCCCCTTCGTCTAATCTGGATCGACTGAAAGGCAAACAACCTGGGCGACTGAAACGGATACGGTTCTTGGCCAATGTTTTATAACCAGCCCCATCGTTCTGTGCATGCTGAACAGAGCACTATAGTGGATTGCCTGGATTATGACCACGTTTATTTCAACCATACATTACACGATATAAAAAAAAACCCTCAGATTGGCGGATCATGTATGACATGTGAGAGGCTGTCGTATTGGGATGACCTGATGTCTTTGTACCAACAAGTGCTCATTACTTAGCGTGCTCAGATGATTAATTATTTTAGCCACTACATTAATAAAGTCACCATCATTAGCAGGTTAAGAACGACCACCACTATTTGCAACATGTATCAGGTTTGCAGAGCAATTAACAAGCATCTCCCATATCCACTGAAAGAAAAAGATATATACATGTCATGCACTTGGGTCAATAATTTACATGGTAAAGATGTGTAGGGTCAATATTGGTTGCAATAAACAATCATATGCATCACATGGCAGCCATCTTTAAATACAAGATAACTGGTCATATTAAATAGTGATATTCAAGCTTCCCTGCCCCCATATATGTGGATAGGGTCATTGAAAGAAGCTCTCTCTGTCAATTAAAATGACAAGCTTTAGGTATATGGATTACGGATTTTGGCCATTTTTAATCCAAGATGGCTAACAATAGGACTATTGAGCTTGGCCCCCTTCCTGAAAATGTTTAATATAATTGATTCAGTATCTTATGAAATGTCATGTTTTATCATCTAAAGTGCACAATTGCTTCATATTATGTCACATCTGCGCACCACTTCTTCATAAATGATATGTCGTAATCCTAGGCTACAAAGTGATGTTTCCAGCCAGCGAAACCAACTGTGCATTGCAGCCAATTTGATTAGTGACATCCAACAAAGTTATGCATTTCTTTTCACAGAAAGGTATTGTTTCCTACTACCGTATGTAAAATGCATTGAGAGTGTTCATGGGAGATTTCAAGCTATCAAGGATATTGGTGACATTTCGCAGGCAAAAAAAAACATTTTCATTTTCTCACAGTATTTTTGTGTTTATAGCAAATGTTTCGTCATACCACATTTGTCCTCTACAATGTAGCCATTTGTCAATCCACTGCTGGATGCACACCATGTCAGTTATGGGGGTATTTTGTCCATACTTCACCATACTGGTCAGAACCCTCGCAGGGCAGACAGTGTACTTTTAATTGTGGACTTAATATGCAAATCACTGCAGTTATTGTGGTGGAAGAACAAAATGCAATGCAATTAAAGCTCATCCTTTAAATCCCATTTTGCCTTTTTGTGTTTTTTTTTAGTAGAATAAAATGCATGCGTGTGCCCTTTTTGCAGAAGGTTCATGTATGGTTGCAAAGCACATTCACTTATTACATTTAGTGGACATCTGAGGAGTGCACTAAATCAGCAGATGTATGTCACAGTTGAGACTGGCTTGGAATCACAATAGGTTTCCCGAAGATCTCGAGTACATAAACTGGACGTGTAGTTAACCAAAAGTTAATTCTTTCCTCCCCTGTCCAATAAACCCGTCATAATGAGATTGTCATTCGCTTGCAGTTATTTTTTTTTACACGCAGAATCTTATATTGTAAAAGTTATGTGTAGACATTTTTTATCGTCAATACTCACTAGAATATTATTTAACTTTTCCGTGTTTACATTATCAAGATTTAGCAATATAGTGTGCCCATACCATCTTAAATGAGTAATATGGTCAGCATTCACATGTATAACTCCCATCATCATCATCAGTCGCACCCTATCCACTACTGGATGAACCACTCTCTGATTATTCAACATTCATCGCCCGTCTCACGATGTAACGATCCACGCAACGCCTGTCAAATAGCTTCATCGCTCTATATCCACCACGGTCGTCCTTTCAGGCGTATCCTCTCCTTCACCTGTCATGCCATCATGAGTCTCGACCATCGGCCATGATTCTTTCCAGCGTCGTATCCTGCCCAGTGCTATTTTAAGTCAGCATGGTCATGTCTCTAACTTGTGTTTGTTCTCTGATCAATGTCTAACTTATATATATATGGTGAACTTCTTTCGCACCATACATAGCCCACCATGCTAATCGGAGGTGCGGTGTTGATGTTTGTACACCACTGCCCTTGATTGCTAATCTTATTGCGTTTTCGTTGTGTTCAACCCATACTGGGAGAGGAGACGAGTAAGCATTGAGATGACAAGGTAGGGGATGACGCATGGATTTGACGTGCGGAATTATTTTTCTTGAGCGCTAAATGCTGACAAATTTGTCAATTGGTTTATTTTCCCAGGTGATCTGTCGCCCTTGGTCGTGGTGTTCTCATGCAATGTGTACATTTATCTTAGAACCTAACAAGACTTGTTTTATGAGAATCAATCGTGTTGGGAATTGCTAAACAAATATTAGTTGATACACCACCGTGGTACCTACCACCATAAAGTTGTTTGCCGGCACTCTGTGCCGTGATTGATGCATTTGAGAAATGTACGCTCCATCTGATCTCGGTTTGACAGCATCAACTTATCAAGGCTCGACATGCTTTGTGCGGTGTTTCTGTGATTCATGTGCAGGAGACGTGTTGACAGATGGCATATAAACAGTGTTCTTTGCTGTGATATGCATTATATTCTTGGTTCTTTCGGTAAAGTCACCATGTAGAAGGGAAACAATAAAATAATAAAAAATATAAATCAATAAAATTATCACGACGTTTCGACTGCAACACAAGCAATCTTCATCCCGTGTGAAAACCACGTGACTTTACTGAAAGAACCAAGAATATGAATCCCTGCAGTCGCAAAAGCTTTAAATCAAAAGTGATACGCATTGTTCGTAATTTTTACGTGTAGTTCGTGCTTCCTGGAACAGATAGAATTGGAACTGTTTTTAATTGATAGCTATCGTTTATGTGGATGTACAGAGATCATCCTAAAACATTAATTTCCAAATACTGTCAAAGATTTCATGTAAGAATCGCTTTCAGTGCCATTCAGAACTGTAATCTATTGGTACTAAACTATTGTTAATTAAGGCAGAATATTGACTGAAGTTGCACCTTCTTTGAAATCCACATTTTATCCATTCTACCCTCGAGGGAAAATAATATACTTTGATGAATTATTTATATATCCTTTCAATCCAACGTGGCCCCCTGTTTCCCACAGTAGCATGAACACTATGGGCATGGCTGACATCTACTTATATAAATATATATCTGCAGTCTTGCATTACACTCGCAGTGTTAATTTCCAACGCTTTTGGGAATCGCATCTGAAAATGTGCTTTAACAGGATTTTCTCCACAGCCATACACAGAGCTGCTATTGAGAATACCTACAGTACTCTCCATCCCTGTCAATTTTTGTTTCAAATCTGGAAACGGATCACTGGGATCCTGTGCTTCTTTTAAATTCCAATAGATGACACGTATGGATGTGGTCGATGCAACAAAACAAGTACTGGGACTTTTGTGAACTTGAAAGAAAACAATAGAATACGATTGATTGTTGGCAAGCGGCTGTGGTCCTAGCCGTTAATTTACGCTCACCTTGAACTGCTCTAATTTTGTCTGCTGTTCATTATGTCTTGAGCAGTTAAGTTTTTCCCCCAAAATGTATTTTCACCCACCATTTCCTGCAAGATGTAGAAAAGGGATTGTACTTTCATGAACGTAATTTTTGTAGAAACAGATGCTTCTTCTTCTCCTTCTCATTCTTCTTCTATTATGAACGTCATTTTTTTCTACAAAAATGACGTTAATGAAAGTGCAATCCCTTTTCTACATTTTGCAGAAAACGGTTGGTAAAAATACATTTTGGGGGAAAAACTTAACTGCTCAGGACATAATGAACAGCAGACACAATTAGAACAGATCACTTGTAAATGTTCTCAGTCCTCGCATAACAATCAGAATAGTCTTACAATCTTTATTCTCTCCAACGTTTCACTGTATGATTCAGTAAGGGACTGGGAGAGGTCACACTTATTTTTAGTTACTAGTTTGTTTGCCCGTCCTAGGACGGAAGCTGTAATATTTACGAAAAAATTGAGCAGAGTATAATTGTATCTTGCGGAAATTAAATGGCAGTGATTCTTGCACAAAACTATGTCATAAAACACCTCACTTAATGTCACTTTAGCACTGTATGTAACTGACCTTCAATTTGTTCAAATTCACTGTTCTGATACTTTATTCTCTTCTGCTTTCGGTCGCTAGGGTTGAAATGAATTTGAATTCGATCAAATATCTGGAAAATCACCGAGAAATGTCTATTTTACCATAATTGTGAAGAATAAATTAGACTTACCTTTTGTCTCAAGTGCTGAAGGAATAAATAAAGACACCAAATCCATTTCGATTTAAAGCTGTCCTCCAGACAGTCTCGTCCCTTCACCTGATGAAGGCCACTTGTGTTGTGGCCGAAACGTCGTGAGAATTTTATTGTTATTTTATTTGATTAATTTATTATTTTATTCTCATTCTACGTGACTTTACCGAAAGAACCAAAGAAGACACCAAATCCACTTTGTTGCTGCGTAGAATTATTTATTAGATTGACTTTCAATAAAGAAACGTCAAACTTAAAGCGAATTTGCAAAAAAAAATATTTCTGCTCGACCTTCTGCGTGAGTGTAAAAATCCACCCGCTCATGAATATTCATGACGGGGTGGGGTGCGGCATGTGGAGAGACGTCACGCGCGTTACACACATACATTCTTGCCTCAATATAGTAGTAATACACTTTAGATACTGCACTGGGTTATGAATTTTCATCTTGAATATGCCAGCAGAGAAACTATCCCTCGGAGAGCATGATGACTAATACGGCCATGACAAAGGCCGCTTCTGTAGAGTTGCTGTAATGTGTGACAGTATTGAATTGTTTTGATTCCCGGCAGGCCTTCAAGATTGAGCCACATGACCCGGAAAGGCTTGACATGCTGCTCGCAGATTCCTTACGGGAAAACCTCCCTGCCTCCAACTTGCACCTTTTTGGAAATCACCAGCTCTCCAATACTAATAGTGAGTTGATACATGATGCATATACAGGGTGTTTCAAAATAGTGGACCCAATTTCAAAGCATTATATTTCACGATGGCAACATGTTACAATTGCACAAAAAGTTACAAACGGTTTAATGAGTTATCACGTTTTACTAACCGTTTTATAAATGCTCTATATGCCCTCCACCTGCTGTACGGGCAACATCGAGACGATAGTTGAATTCGTACCAAACGCCTCTCTTCTCACGTTTTCTTCTGAGGTGCGTGGTCGTCCCTGTGCTCTTCCCCTTACATAAACAGCCACGTTTCCTCAAATCGTCGGTACCAACGACGAATGCTCTTTGACACTGGCGGATCAATGCCAAAACGCCATTGAAACGCACGCTGCACCGCAATTACGGATACAGTCTTGCTGAACTGCTGGACGCAAAACGCCCATTGTGTTGCGGGTTCACCATCTTGCGAATGACTGAGGCTAGGGGCTGTTTGTGCGCTGGGAGAGGCATGTAGCGGTCATCATTTGAAACTCTATGCCCTGCCCTTTCAAGTGGTAAGAGTTTCATTCATGGACCGTTTGTGGTTGCAGAGATATAACGATTTCAAATCGGGTCCATCATTTTAAACACCCTGTATTTAACACGTCCATGTGCCATCCTATGAATATTGTTTGTGTAGTTTTAAGAAAGTTATTTTAGTGATAATTTTTTGACATTGTCAAGTATCATCAGTCTACATGTATTTAAGTGTAAAATTGTTCTTGTTCTAATGTGTTTGCTAAAATTAATTGGCTCGTTCAATGAATTAATATGGTATATGCATTCTTGTGTTGTTTTAGTTCATTATTCACTCAATAGTTAAATTTAACATATACGAGGAAATCATTTCTAAAAGTCGGATGGAAAAACTGACCTTGATAATAAAGAGCAACACACCAGTGTGCATGCACATTACCTGCTGTGACAAGTGGATCGTAAACATGGAAACCGAAAATAAAATAGAACAAAAGCCTAAACTTGCACAGAGACACGTGGAGGGAAGCGTTCTTAGATTTATACTTGGATCGCATGGTTGGCTACGTACGGTGCGAAAGAAGTTCACAACTTACATATAAAAGAAGACGTGGATCAGAGAAAAAACACAAGCTAGGGATATCGTCATGCCGAGTGTTAAAATATTACTGCGCGTGGGATTGGGCAGGACGCAACGCTGGAAGGAATCATGGCCGATGGTTGAGACGAACGATCCCATGACAGCTGAAGGAGAGAATATGCCTAAAGTCATTTGACAGGTGCTGCGTGGATCGTTACATCGTGGGACCGCCGAGGGATGGTGAATCCTTGGAGAGGGGTTCCTGCAGTAGTTGATAGTGTGACTTATGATGGGAGTTACACATGGGAATGCTGGCCATATGTTTAATTTAAGATGGTATGGACACACTATATTGCTAAATCTTGATAATGAAGACGTGAAAAAGTTTAATAATATTGCAGTGATTATGTGACGATCAAAAATGGCTACAAATAGATTTTCCAGTATGTGGTATGCGCATTGATAAATTCAATGCATATGTTTGAAAAGAGCTTTAAAGTTTGTGATTTATATTCCTATGCTACGCTAATGTACATCTCACCTGTATTTTATATATATATTTTATTTTACACAAAATTTAATGGAAAGCAGAGCTGTGGATTATTTATTTCTATGAGAATTTGTGATAAACTATTCAAGGCTCACGATAGGGTAACCTCAGGGTTAGGATGTGAACGGGAGCTGCCCTTGGCCTCATCACACGAGGTGTCACCGTGAGAGAGGAGAGACCCATTCTTTCCCATTTCCCCTCCACACTACCCCCACCGTTCCGCTGCATGCTTAAATAATAGACTGCGACATGCAATGGAATAACATCGACCGGATTACCGAAAGGTGGGCCCTATCGCAGCACTGGAACATCAAAGAAACTGACTTCATCCCCCCCTTGCCGCTCGCCGTCATACACGTTGCACAACACGCGACACGTGGATAGTTTTGACTTTAAAAAAGCGCCCAGTTTCTTCGCCGCAGGTGGCTCATATTTCAACGGACTGCAATTTGTACACAGATTTCAAATAATGTCTGTTCTTGCCACTGTGAAACACTAAAAGGAGTTAAAATTGGACAGTCTTCAGGGCAGCAAGCCTGAGCTTAGTGTGTTATAAGTGAATGCCACGTCAGCAAAAGTTTGAAACAACACAGTACAAAAAGTGGTCTAATTCATGAGATAGCAGATGCACACGGCAATAAATGAGATGCTTTTCATTGCCAGATTACTTGGTTTTGGCAGACTCCAGTTTGTGCCACATTTCTCATTTGAGAAACGGTGCCCTATAAAAAGTTATCTGCAAGATCCTTTTAGCTGTGTGCTTGGATTATCATGCTTAAGGTCTCAGAAGAAGTGCACTATGCAGTAACCTTTAAAATCCCATCTTCTTAAACATTGAGCAGGAGACTAGGCTTTGTTTATTTCAAAGGTGTGCTCTGCAATAGAGGTTAAACCTAAAGTGAAAACTCATCTTGCATTTATTACACATTTATATTTGCATACATTATAAACGCACTGGATACTTAGAGAGGGTTTTCAGAAATAATCAGTGTGATATGTAAACACAATCATATCCAAAGGGTTGGGTTATCTGTGTTGCTTCCGTAAGGAAGGTTTGTTCGAGACTTTGGCCAAATTAACTTGCTCCTGTCTCCTCCTCTAGCACGAAATGTGTGTCCTGTAGTGTACATGTACAGCCTTCCCTATGCCATGCAGGTGATGAGGGTTATTTAACTATACATCATACTGGTCAGAGGGGTTGGTGAAGTCCAGTAATATATTTTGTTTCACTTGACTGCCCACCACATAGCCCCACAGTCCAGTCACATCATGTTGTGCAGAGTAGTCACACGGCCAATCACTACCCACGCCCGCTCAACCTTGCTTAACTTCCGACATCCGTCAAGATCTGCACACACTCTGGTCATAGGCTATCCTGTGACGCTATGCACATTTATTCATATGGTGGTCACCGACACACTCCAGTTAAGTCAGGTACTCATGAGCTCTGTCCCTGTGCCAGGCACCCAGAAACGTACTATAATTTGAATCTTCCATTATTATTATTTCGTACGTATGTTGAACTTCTTTCGCACCGTGCGTAGCCAGCCCTGCAAATCGAGGTGCTGGAGAAGGATAACAAACTAAACACAAAAGCATTTCACAAGAAATTCGTTTTCAGTTTGGGTTTCAAAATGAATAGCTCCCAGTGGCTTCCTAATATCCGAAGGAAGAGCGTTCCAGACGGCCGCAGAAGCGCATCTGAAAGCGCGCGTGATGCGGCGACCGTCTTTGTATCTCAGGTAGAGCAGGGCTATCCGACAGATAAGCTGTGGTGCGTCCATGTAAACTGCTCGGTGGACAGACACAGGGAGATTTTTAAGAAACATACTCATTGTTTCAATTGCCTCGTCGGGAGAGTGAACTTACGACCTCTGTATTGCACCGTTGCACCATGGCAGCGGGAAGCCTTAATCACACTCACATTTGCCCTTCTCATACCTTGTAACAAAGTATGTTTAGTGACAAGCCTTCATTAAGCCTTCATTGTGTCAAAAGTTGTAACTTAGAATGATAACGGATAAAACCACATTGAGTGAACCGGCGAAGACCACTCAATTTACGGTCACATATCACGAAACGTTAAAGTACTCTATCGCTAAAAGCACACAGCTATGCCCTTAGCCATGGCAGTAAATTACGTCAAAGAGCCACATTGGGAGCCACCTGTGCCGTGTTCTGCCCCATGCAGCCCAGCGAGAGGAGGAACTGCCCACGCTGCTGCATTTTGCGGCCAAGCACGGCCTGCACAACCTGACAGCGCTGCTCTTCCAGTGCCCCGGGGCCGTGCAGGCGTACAGCGTGGCCAACCGCAGTGGCCTGTACCCCAACAACCTGGCCGAGCAGCATGGCTTCCAGGACCTGCGTAAATTCATGGACGACTACGTGGTGAGGCTCACCGGCCGGGCACAAGCGATCGAGGCGTGATCCGCGCAACGCCATACCGGGCTGAAGGCTTGAGTTGAACAGCTTTGTAATGCAACATTGGTTTAAATAGAGAAACGGACAGGACGTGGACGGAAACGTCGGACGTTGTGCCGGAGAACACGCGGTACTACCCGGAATTACATGGAAGGGCTGAACAGCACAACCGAGAAAAGCCACGTGGTAGTATGACTAAGTCAATCGGCCTATTGAATGTTCTGCCACTGGGTTGGGTGTAATTGATAGGGTAATTTACTTGCTTGCACATTTAGCCGCATAGAGCAGAAAAGCCCAAGTGGGGAAATTAAAAAATAAAATTGAATCGATTCTCATGGTTAAGCCCAAGATTATTAGGGATGTGTCTGCCCTCAGCATATTTAATATATGAATTAATCGCAGGCAACATTGCCTGAGGAGCAAGTGCTGTTAGTGAGCACCTGTTAAAGCCAGCCCGGCGCGTCAGGAGCCGGTGGGCAAAAGTCTCACGCCCAGTTGACTTTGCGTTCAAGTGATGTTGTTGATGGTGCATACCGAGTACTCATTTTAGGCTCAGTTAACCTAGGGATATTATCTAATAATTTTAGATGAATGGTAATTATTTTATCGTGGTGGAATATTTACGGTTTTAACAAATGAGCTTCTTTAAATAATGTACCAGGGTGAAGACTTAGATACTCAAGATCAAAATGCACAAGTCTCCCAGCAAATAATTTGCTCCAAATGAATTCATATTTTCATTAACAAGGCTGCTTTAATTGAATTTAAATAAGAGGAAATGTTATGCTTTATTTTGTAAAACATAAATATTTATACCTGATCTTAATAATTGCCTTCTGTTTGAAATGGTCAAATTATTTGTCATCATGCCTCATCATAGTCATTAGCCACGATCTATCCATTGGTGGATGAACGTGTTTCTCAGCCATCAATCTATCCAGCTCCTGCACACGAGCTGACTTCATTGCTCCATCTCCACAGTGGATGTAATTTCCGGCATGTTCAATCTTCTGGTTGTCTATCTGCCATTAGTCTTGACCCCCAAAACTCTCTTCAGGGTGCCTAAGAGGATTCAACCTAATAAGCATCTCAATGGGAACGTCTATTCAACTCGCATAAATGTGTAGTGGGTTCCAGGACACGGAGACGGCAGAATAGAAGCAGCACTATTTATTTAAACCTTAACAAGGGTTACACTAGAAGGGGTAGCGGCCCCTCCACCCGTATAACTCAGGAACACACCCCAGGCTCTCTGGCCTAAGCTCTAGGCTCCCAGTTCCTCCTGGTAGGGCTCTAAGGGAGGCTATCAGATCCGGCCCTGGTTAGGCACAGATCTCGGCACCCCGCCGACCAGACCGGCCCTTAGAAGGACTCTGACTCTGGGGCTCTGGGGCCGCACCACTGGCTTGCTGTGCCGGCCCTGAAAAGGGCAGCGGTCACAGGAGTTCCAGGGTCTCACCTAGCTGGCCTTCTTTCTTCACTGGTTGCTTCAGCCTCGGGCCCCACACTCTGCCCCGAGCTCCCTGGCTCCCCGCACTTTATACCCACTGGAGCCTTAGCGGACGTTGTTGTAGCCACCAAGGTGTGGGTGAACCACACCTTCCCGTGTCATGTGTTTATTCCCCATAGCACCCCTACATCACCCCCTCCCGTGTAACCCGCAGCCGTCCCGGCTGCAACAATACTCGAACAATAAACACAACAAACCCCCACCCGTGCGTGCCTCATAAGAACGAACACCCCAATAAATAACCCAACCCACCTATACAAAATTACACTATATACACATATACATTGTACCCGCCCCCCCCATCAACGCAGCAAGAAAACTTAACAGTGAACAACAAGAGTAACAAGAACCATTTTTACAACAAGCGGCGCATTTTGGCGCGAGTCCGATTTGCGGGTCCATCGTAGGGGGAGGGTCCGGTCGGCCCGGCAGTGGGCACCGGCTGTGCAGGTGCACCGTCTTCCGTCACCCCGGAAGGGCAAACTCCGTCCCCACCGGGTGGCGCAGGCGCGCTGGAAGCCGTCATTCTTGAGGCGCCTGAAGGTGGAACAGTTAGCGAAGCATCAAGGGCAGGTGACGAAGACGCCGTCCGGGAGTCAGCGGAGACATCACATGCTCGGCCTGTGTAATGTGGTGGAGGGACGCGCGGCGCCACAAACGGCTTCAGACGCGAGGGGTGTACGTACCAGCGGCGTTTCCCCCACTGGATACGAACGCACTGCGGCCGCATAACCTTCACAATAACCACAGGGCCCCTCCAAGGCCGCAACAATTTCGCCGAGGTCGCCAACGGCACCTGAGGGCAGTGCAGCCAGGCTTGATCGCCTGGCTTCCACGCATGTGTGCGTGATTGGCGCGATCGCAACCTCTCGTTGGCCTTCTGCCGAGAGGAAGAGTTTTGGGCCGCTGCCTCCCGCGCCTCGGTCAACCTCAGGATATTAAATTTAACGTGGTCGGCCAATTTCGATTTTCTGCTGGTTTCCGAGACGCGGAGCTGATTCGCAATTGGTGGGTCAACGTCGCGACCGTACATCAAAAAGAACGGCGAGAAGCCGGTTGCCGCGTGAGGAGCCATTCTATAGGCGGCCAAAACCCCCGGAATGTGAAGGTCCCAATCGGTCTGGGAGTCACACACCTGGTGACACAACATAGATGTGAGCGTCCTATGCAGCCGCTCCACCATGCCATCGGTTTGTGGGTGATAGGGGGATGTGCGAATCTTTTTCGTACCAAGAAGCGCACACACCTCGTGCAGAAGGACGCCAGAGAAGTTCTTCCCTTGGTCAGTCAGCAGCCGTTCGGGAGCACCCTTGTCGAGGACATAGCCCTGGACAAAGGCCTCGGCAACGGCTGCTGCTGACTGGTTAGCAAGAGGCCATGCCATAGGCCATCGGGTGAAATATTCCACGCCAACCAGCAGGTACTTGTTACCCCTAGGGGTCGCAGGGAAGGGCCCCAATATATCGAGTGCGACGAGTTCGTTAACCCGAGAGACCGTGATAGATTGTAGCGGTGGGCAGGCGCCTTTCGCTGGTGGTTTTCGTTGGGCGCACTGAGTGCATGCACCCAGGAGGTCATCCACATCCCTTGCCATACCCGGCCAGAAGAAATCCAGCTGGAGCACGGCAAGGGTCTTGTGGGTCCCCAGGTGCAAAAGTCGCTCGTGTGCGGCCCAAACGGCCTTACCCCGCAAAGCGGATGGCACCACCAGCCTGTGACGGCAGGCCCTCCCATCCCAATGCATTAGGAGCCCCTGGAGCAGCCCGTATGAATCAATCCCCGCGACCCCCCGCACGGAACCCCCTGCGCGACGACGCAACGCGAGGAGGGATGCGTCCTCCATCTGGAGGCGCCCCCATTCAGCAACGGACAACCCCAGCAAGGAGTCCGCACCTCCCTCCCCGACAGGACCCTCAGGCAAGGGGTCCTCAGTGGCAGCAGCGAGAACCGGGATATCTAAGGGGGGGCTATCCTCTGGCGGCTTACAACGCCCCGATCCCCTGAGACAAGCGCAATCTGAGGCGGGCGGCAGGCGAGACAGCGCATCCGCATTAGTGTGCCGAGCACCCTTCCGATATGTGGTCGTGAAATCATAATCCTGAAGGATTTCGAGCCATCGGGACAATTGCCCCGAAGGCTGTGTCACCCGCAAGGCATATTGTAATGCCGCATGGTCCGTACGGACAGTGAAATGCCGACCGTACAGGTATGGGCGATACTGTTGCATAAAAAATACAATAGCCAAGAGTTCCCGACGCGTGACGCAGTATCTCTGTTCCGCCGGAGACAAAACCCTACTGCCATAAGCCACGACGCGTTCCACACCACAGATCACCTGTGAGAGCACACCCCCAATGCCCGTATTGCTGGCGTCTGTATCGAGCAGGAAGGGTTCCGAAAAATCGGGGTAGCTCAATGGAGGGGCCCGCACGAGAGCGTCGCGAAGGGAACAAAAAGCGACCTCCTCCTCCTGGCCCCAGTGAAATTTCACTCCCTTCGCCGTCAGAGCGTGTAAGGGCTTAGCAATGGTCGCGAAATCCGCGACGAACCGCCGGTAATAAGACGCAAATCCAATGAAACTCCTGACCTCAGCCACCGAGGTGGGGGTTGGCCAGGAGTTGACACACTGCGTCTTTGCGGGATCGGTGGATATGCCCGAGCGGCTGACGATGTGCCCCAAATAGCGTACGGATTCCCGTAGCAGGTGGCACTTTTGCGGCTTAAATTTCAAATTCGCAGCACGCATTTTGAGGAACACGGCGCGCAAGCGCAAAAGGTGTTCGTCAAATGTCTTGCTGAACACGATGACGTCATCCAGATAGATCAAACAGACGTTCCACTGTAAGCCAGCCAAAACCAGTTCCATAAGGCGCTGAAATGTCGCCGGAGCGGAGTGTAATCCCATAGGTAACCGGTTAAATTGGAATAGGCCGTGTGGTGTGCGAAACGCAGTCTTTGGCTTGGACTCATCATCCAATGGGAGTTGCCAAAATCCGGATAACAAGTCCAACGTAGAAAAAAAACGTGCGCCAGCCAGAGCATCCAGAGATTCGTCCATCCGGGGAAGTGGATACGCGTCGGCCACGGAGATCTTATTAAGGCGGCGAAAATCCACACAGAATCGCAAGGACCCATCGTGCTTTTTGACAAGCACTATGGGTGCTCCCCATGGACTGGTGGAAGGGGCTATAATGTCTGCAGCCAGCATGTCATCCACTGCCAATTTGACATGATCTTTTTCGGCCGGACTTAACCGAAAAGGATTCTGGCGTACCGGGGCATTGTCACCCGTGTCAATGTGGTGACGCAACAATTTCGTGCACCCAATGTCATATTTGTGTTTACTAAAAACATCGGAAAATTCCGTCAGAAGGGTGCGTAGGCCGGCACGCTGGGAGTCGGACAGATCACTCGTGCCCGAACATAGTGTGTCCATCCAACTATCGTCCCCCTCAGA